GGCCCGGCCCGGCCCGGCGCGCGTGTGGGGTTTCCCACTTCTCACTCTTTGTCCATAGATGTGTTATGTTTTGAACATAGACACATGAGTGACCATATATATACACTATGAAAAACTCCCAAACTTTAGATGTGGGACTTTTGAAGTCATTCACTTGCCAACCAAGAGGCTTTTCTCATTCACATTTTAGAACCCATTTTGACAAGACAACAAGCCCACTCAATAGCCCAATTGATTCAAAATTATGGTTCCAACAGTCCAAACGTGGAGTTTAACCATCGCATATTAAACTTGATCAAGTTAGCAAACTAAAAAAAACATCAAGAGAAATTGTTACCAAAACATATATAATATGAAATTACATAGAGAATATTAGGTTTGATGATTACCAAACAAGCCGCCGAGTAATAGTGATCGGTGGCTAGGCCATATCCCCTACCCAAATGTGCCAAGCTACGGATACAAATCAATTTGAAATCCATTTCATTTTGATTATGGGGACATTCGGGAGTGTTTATTACTGGTTGGACGGCGAGAGAGCACAAATCCTCAAAATATCGGCATTCTAAGGCCACGATCATGAGAAGAAGAGTATATGGTATTTGGCGTAAAGCCTCATAAGCCTCCCAGATTTTGCCACTGTTGTATTCGAATTCACCTAAATTGTGTGCCGCTAGTTCTTTGTCTGCTTGCTTCTTCGGATTCTCCTCTCTGGCATTGTTCCTGGCGTTCTCCCTTTCCTCCTTGGCATAAAGCTGCAAAATCAAAAACTGAAATGATAAGGAAATTCTAACCAATGAAATTTTAAGTAAACCGAATCTATAGGTGTATGCATTCTGGCTATGAGGATACCGTCGTATAACGAAGTAAACGAGTTTTGTTGTCAAGTGTATCATTGTAGTCAAGCTCCATTTTCTTGAGCATTTCCGAATCCGCAGAATAAGACGCGCCTAATCGTCCACTGATTTCATTTGACACAAAGGTTAGGAACTTTGTATCTGTCCTATAAGCCCACCTATCCCACTTAAGCCGATCAAACAAAAACCGTAAGGCTTCAAGTTTGTCATCTTCATCTAGAAGTTGATGTTTCAACATATGTTCTATGCGAAGAAGTTGAGGACGTCCAGAGTATCGAGAAATGTACTCTTGGAAGTCGAAAAGAGGTATATTTGACATGTTTCTGGATGTAAAAGAGAACATCAAAAAAACAAAAAACGTTAGTTGTTATCTAAGAGAAGGAGAACTTTGCAATTAGTGGAGAAAAAAAATTACCCTAATCCATGATAACAACCAGCGGAAAACCTAGCCCCCCGATTTACTATTTTAATGTGTTTTTTTTTTTTTTTGCAGATGATGTAAATTAAAAGCACAAATTACACACAAACAAGAAACCTAAACGTTACTTGTTCTACAAGAAAACAGAACCTTGAATCAATTAGCAGGAAAAAAGTACCCAAATCCATTAGAAATAGAACAGAGATGAAGAAATCACCTATAATTTGTTACGGAGAAAGAAAACGGCGGAAGAACACGACGGAGAAATGTACCGGAGAAGATTAATCAACCGTGACA